ATATATATATATATATATATATATATATATATATACGCACACATACACCAGGGCACATACTCTCTCTCTCCCTCCCCCTCCCCTTCCTTCTTGCTCTCTTCATCACAATAAAAACAAATATAATTTTTTTAAAAAAACAGAAATGGATTCACAATGTACACAACTTGGGTCTTTTAGCTTAATCTGTCAAGGACATTTGTCCAGGTTAATTCACACAGTTCTTGTTCATTCTTTTTAACATCTGCTTAATATTTCATTATGTAAACATATAATAATTTATGCAACTATTTCCCAGCTCATGGATATTCAGATGTTTACTTGTTTTTGCTTCAACAAACAACACTATGCTACACACTAAACAGAATAAAACGGTGGGTTTTTTTAAAAACAGGTATTACTACGTTTCTTTCTAAAAAACATTGTAGCAATTTCTATTACCAGAATAAAATGTGAATACTTCCTTTTTCTTTTGTACGCATGAACAATAAAGATGATTGCTCTTTTTAATCTTTGCCAATCTGTTGAGTGGAAAATGGAATTTCATTTTTGTTTTCATTTATATTTTTGTAGTTACTAAAAGGAAAGGCATAATTTTCAGAAGTTTTTAGCCACTTGTCTTTCCTGTAAGGAGCCCTAATTGCACAGTGGTTAAGTGTTAGGCTGCTAACTAAAAGGTCAGCGGTTGAAACCTACCAACAGCACCGCAGGAGAAAGATGTGGCAGTTTGCTTTTGCAAAGATTACAGCCTAGGAAACCCTATGAGGCAGTTCTACTCTGTCCTACAGGGTTGTTAGCAGTCAGAATCGACTCGACGGCAATGGGATTTTTTGGTTTATATTTCCTGTTCCAATAATTGCCTTCATATCATATGCAAATAAAGCTAATTTTTCTTTTTCATTTCATTCATATTACATATGTATTTCATTTTCTTACATTATTGCAATAACTACAGCTTCTGAAACAATGTTTAATAATATGGAATAACAGGCATATTTATCTTGTTTCTAACTTTTCTAGAAAGTCTTCAATATTTCATGTCATTACTAAAAGGTAACTAAGTATCATGGTTTATTATGATACTTACATATTATGGTTTATTATGATATTTATAGTTCCCTTTTTGTAATTGTTTTTTATCATATTTAAGCCATTTCTTTCTATTCATATTTCATTCTATTTGTATTTTAACTAGGAATAGCTGATGAATTGTATCGCATATCTTCTTGGTATTCATGGATGCACTAATATGATTTTTCTCCATTAATGAGTTTATGTAATAAATTGTGTTGATAGAATGCCTGTTACTAACCATCCATGAACTCTTAGAGTAAATGCTGCTCTCATTATAGTGTATTACTTTTAACTCACTGCTGGATATAGTTTGCTAATATTTTGTTTAGACTTTTTTCCTCTATATTCATAACAAATTGATCTAGGCATAACTGAAAGTGTCCTAAGTAATATATTAACTGGCCAGAGGTTTCTCTATTTATCTATTCAATCTATTATATTGTGTATACGTATTACGTATATGTCACTTTGATGGCGAAGGTGTGCCTGACCCAAGCCATGGTATTTTCGATGACCTCATAGGCATGCGAAAGTTGGACAATGAAAAAAGAAGACCAAAGAAGAACCGACAAATTTAAACTGTGATGTTGGTGAAGAATATTAAATATACCATGGGCTGCCAGAATGAACAAATCTGTCTTGGAGGAAGTACAGCTAGGATGCTCCTTAGTAGTAAGGATGGTGAGACTTCATCTCACTTACTTTGAACATGTTACCAATCTCTGGAGAAGGACATCATGCTTGGTAAAGGAGAGGTCAACAAAAAGGAGGAAAACCCTCAATGAGATGGATTAACATAGTGGCTGCACTACATGGACTCAAACATAGCAACAATTGTGGGAATGATGCAGGACCAGGCAATATTTCATTCTGTTATACATAAGGTTGCTATGAGTCGGAGCCAACTCGACAGCACCTAACAACAATAACAACAAATATATACACACACACACATATTCTATCTCTATCTCTCATCTTCTTCATCTCTTCCTCCCCCTCTCCCTCCTTCACTCTCTTTTGTATTTAATTGATTACGGCTTTCCTTTTAATTGGTTCACGGTGCCTACTTTTTCATTTTGTTTTTTTTTTTTTCCTCATCGTTTAAGTTGAATATTTAGTTTATTAATTTTAACCATTCTTTCTTCATCCAAAGAGTATTTAAAGTTACCAATTTTTCTCTGAATAGAGTTTTAGCTGTGTATTGGAGTTTGAGTATGAAATATTTTCTCTCTTCTTTATTTCTAAGTGGTTTGTAATTTCAGGGTTTTTTTTTGCTTGGATTCAGGGTTATTTGAAAAAGTGCATATTAATTTCTTAAGTTTTTATGATAATGCCACCTTAGATTTTCCTTCTATATTTGGGATAAGAATGCAGTCCATAAAATCTGTGCTTTTTGAAATTTATGGAGGTTTTCTTTCTGACCAAGTACATGATAGCTTTTGAAACTGCTTAATAAATATAAGAGAAAAGTAGATATTCTATTAATATCTATTTATGTGTGTATATGTATATCTTATACATATGAATTATTATATGTGTGCTTAGACTATTGCCTGGCACACAATATGTTTACTAAAAGATGTGTTTTAACAAGCTCTTAATGTATTTCCAGCAGTTTTTGATTTCTGTATTTGACTGCCATGTAGAATGACGTAGTGAAGATTTACTTCTACCAAGCGTGTCTATTTTAGCTTGAGCAAGATTAAGTTCCTTGCTGACACTTCTCCACAATGTTGTTTACTACAAAGTGACACCATGAGGAATAATATCATTTCCATAAACCATCAAGGGCCTGTCTTCCCAAAGGATACTTGAAGTACTTTCCCCTTGTGCGTAAGCAATGCTGACAACACTGAAGGGTCTAGCACGGACTGTGCTGCTAATTAGTGGTGCGTCTTTGTACGAATCACTTAAGACCATTGGACTTCAAGTTTGTCCTCTGTGAACAGAAGAATCTGAACTGGTTGGCTTCTTAGGCCTCTCTAGATTGGGCTTTATAATTCCATGGCCATCCTTTTCTTGTATATGATTAAAGAAATTTTCATGCAATATGACAGTACCTAAGCACAAACCTATGAAGCCCTGGTGGTGCAACGGTTAAGCACTTGGCTGCCAACCAAAGGGTTGGCTGTTTGAATCCACCCAGCAGCTCTGTGGGAGAAAGACTTGGTGATCTGCTCCCATAAAGATTGAAACTCATTGCTGTCCAGTCAATTCCAACTCATAGCGACCCTATAGGACCCTATAGAACAGAGTAGAACTGCCTCATAGGGTTTCCAAGGATGTAATCTTTATGGAAGCAGGCTGCCACATCTTTCTCCCACGGAGCAACTAGTGGGTTCAAACCGCCAACCTTTCAGTTAGTAACTGAACGCTTAACTACTGTACCACCAGGACTCCCCTGTAAAGATTACAGCCTTAAAGACCCTATGAGGCAGTTCTACTCTGTCACATGGGGTCGCTATGAGTTGGAATTGACTCGATGGCACCTAACAACAACAACCAGCACAAACCAAGGCAGATCTCAAAACTGAAATGAGACATAAAATAACGGAAGAAGATGAACGTTCGCAGAGGCTGAATGAGATTTACATGTATTAGTATGGATAGATCTCAAAACATAACATCAAGTTTTTTTATAAAGCAAAATCCAGAACATTCCATTTAAAAATATGCTACTAATTAGGCATTAAAAGTACAAAACAACCTGATGGGTTGTTTGTGGCAATAGACATATACTAAAAAAAATTTTTAAAACTGGGCAGTACCAAATTCCTCATAGTGGTGGCCTCTGGGGAAGGAGGAAAACTGGAATGGAAACCATATATTACATTTCATTTATATGAAATATCCAGAAGAGGCAAATTCATAGAACAGAAAGTAGATTAGTGGTTGCCTAGGGCTGGGGGGATGGTGGAATTGGTGGGTGACAGCTAAGGGGAGCCAGGTTTCTCTTTGGTGTGAAGAAGACACTCTAGAAGTAGTCAGTGGTGATGGT